TTAATAAAGAGTTATTTTGATTTTTAAATTAACAAATGTAAATTTATTTATTTTAAAGTAAATGGTGGATATACATGATTATATAAAAAAAAATTAAAATAGAAAAATTGTTGATTATAATTTCTCGGTGAGTGTACATGTGTATGTGTGTGTTTTAGTTCGCGGGTGTTACATTAATACGGAGGACATCAGTCAGAAATAGAATGGAATGATTTTACTGTTAAATTTAGATTCTGACTGGGTGATACAATATAAAAATATATTTGATTAAAGGATAAAAACATAAAATCAAAATCAATATGTATAAGTAAATAAGTGTATATGTTAAGAACGGTCAGAAATATAAAATTGGTCGCTCGCATATGTGTTAGATTACGATCAGGATTTAAAATTTTCTAAGACTTATTACCGAAACGGGTTGATGATTTAAAAGAATGAAACATTCTTCGGAAAGTTTTGATTTAAATAAGAAACAAGACAAAAAGAAGGAAAAGAAAAATTATTCAATTAAACTTACTTTTTTCAATAGTAATTCAGAGGTGGAGAGGTGGGGAATTTTTGTACGGTGTTTTGCTCTGTGTCTCATGTCGGCAACCCGATGTTCGATTCGTGGTTGCTCTGGAGATGATGCCAAGCGAGGACACTGGTGGCACAAGTGCCTAACTCGCGAATTACGGTGCAAAAGCACAGAGTAAGACTGCGTGAAGCTGAAGACTGGAGAATAAGTGCTTAAGTCTGTTCGAGTCTTCTTTTTATATCTCTCTTTTCGGGGTGTATTCTAATTTCTAAGAGTGGGAATCTTCCAAAACTTCGACGAATTGAATTTGCGCAGAAGTGGGAATTTTTCAATCTTAGCAAATTAAAAATGTGCCAGTGTCTTCGTTAGGCGGGGTGTTCCTCCTACTTTTTGCGTTTTACTCGTAGTGATCGTCCATTGGTGAGTTCGATATTCGTTCGGAGATTTCTTGCACGTGTTCAGATTAGAAAAAAGATCCTATTCTTCTATGATAATTTTATTGCTATTGGTGCAGCTGTGTTTATTGAATATTCGTTGGAAAATTTTATTATTATATTGTAGATGCAGCTGTGTTTGTTGGGTATTTCGTTAGAAAAATTTATATTACCTTGAGGAGACCGGCATATTTTTATCATCGATCTTTTACGTTGGTCTGTTTACTGAGCGGTTCGTTTGTCTCACCAATCGACGATCGTTGCCGACACTTCGCAGAAGGAAGGAATCGTGGAATCGCAAGGATGTAACACCCCCGGCCTTAGACAAATGTTGGGGAAAAACCTAACATTTGCAGAAAAAAGAAAATGGATTTTTTCCTTTCGTTAATTCTTCTTATATTAGCAGAAATAAACTAAAATATTCATATTCCTACACAAAAAATAGCAAAATAGAAACTTATTCTTTTAAAATTTAACTTTTTTATATTAATCATAGAAAACATTAACTTTATTAACTCAAATAACAAGATATAAACATTTTTTGCTCTTATTTCTAAATAATAATTTTTCAATTAGAGTAATAGGAACACAGTATCCTTAAGAACTATTAATACAAATAGAGATTACTCTGCATCACAGTTATGACAAATATATAAGTCATTTTGTTTGGTGCATTGTTCATGTGACCAACCCTTACATTTTATGCGTTGCACCCATTTTTCGCAGGGTTTACTGGCACTATATGGCTCTAGGCAGACAAGACAATAATACTCTTCATTTTCTTCATTACCATCTTCTTTCTTATTCTCGTTCTTTGATTTATCTTTTTTATAAGAAATTTTCTTTGTTTTCAGTTTTGGATCACAAAAAATTCTTTTTGCTTTCTTTTTGTGTTTTTCGTCATATCCTGCTCTAATTTTTTCTTTTTCAAGAGTATCAGTATATACAGTAGATTTCTTTTTTCTTTTACCTCTATTTCCTTCTTTCCTAGGCGGAGCTTTAGGGAAAGGTCTAACAGCTTCTGGCGTGAACTCTTCATGTAGATTTATTTCTTCATCTGATATTGATTGAGTTTGAGTGTTGAGTTCACATGAGACAGAACGAGACGTTGACGGTATAGGTTCATCATTCGCGTCTCTCGATTCGGTTGAGCTAATTTCATTTTTATTACCAATTTCAGATAAAGGTGCTGACCTATCTGTAACATAAGATGGAGCATAATCAAGAGCTGTAAATATATTTCTGTTGTAGGAAAATATGCCCGTGCATCTGAAGCCTGCTTGAATGTTAGTTACAGTCAGCGCCATTGGAAGAGCCGTGTTTATTATGGAAGGAATGTGATAGATAGTCATTGTTTTCCCTGGATTATTGCACATCCAAGCATCACAACTGGTATTGACAGCTTTTTTTAGTGGCCCATATACAGAACGGTCTAGTGGCTGCAGCTTATGTGAGCAATGGGGAGGGAAAGACAGCACTATTATACCGTTTTCGGAACAATAGTCAAGGGCTTGGATGGATATGTGGGAAGAATGATTATCCAGTAGCAAAAGAACTTTATGGGAAACTGTTGCAGACGTATATTTTTGAAAGTGTTTAAAAAATATGAGGTACTCATTTTCTTGCATCCATCCGCTTGCGTTTCCGGCTCCAATGCTGCCAGTTGGCCCATCTCTGACAAAATGCTCTTTATATCGAAGTCTCGGAAATATGAATGTCGGAGGTATAAAATTACCGATAGCATTTACTGCGCACATTATTGTGACTAAGCTTCCTCGTTCAGCAGATGTCAATGCGCCAACTTGCCTGATTCCTCTTCTAGTAACAATTTTATTTGGTTTTTGGACAGTTGTGATCCCTGTTTCGTCAGCATTATAAATATCCTTTGTTTCGAACTTATATTTATCAATGACATTTTGCAAATTGTCAAAGAAGATATTTACATTAGTTTCATTAAAACTAGTGGCACGAGACATACTAGTGGGTTGTGCACATCTTATAGATAATTGTGGTTGTCTTTTCATGAAGTTGCTAAACCAATCTTTACTCGCCGTTTTGTTTTCTTCCCACTGAGATGGGAATGACAGTTTATATTTCTTTGCCAACTCATATGCAAATCTTTTGATTTCTTTGGGACAAAAACCATAGTATATATCTGCTGCTCTTATTACATAATCTGCT